CTGAGAATTTCAGTTGTCAGCTAAATGCTTATGTCAGTTCTGACTCTTAACAACAAGTAAATATTCCCCAACTCCTATACAACAGTTTCTTAATTATTTAGTCAATTTGTTTCCTTTAAAGCCTTCAAGGTTGCATTTTTTCTGCAACCTCAGCCATCTTCAAGGGTACCATAAATTTAGCAGAGGCAAGGAATGATGTCATCATAATATACTGTTTCCTTCTTACTCTTGGTTTTTGATCAGAAGTTGTAGTGATCAGTTTGTCTGTCAGAGAACTATGTAAAATCTTAATGGCCAGACCTGATGGGTAAGTATTTAAAGGATGTTTCATGGTGCTGCAGCTAAGAACAAGGAACACAAACAGGGACAAATGAAACTGAAAGAAGGGCTTTATATACTGGCATGTTGTCTCAAGTGAATGGTTGACCCAGAGGTTTCCTTAAATTCATGAACAGACCAAAACAAAACAAAAAAACAAACCCCAAAACAAAAAAAAAACTACCTCCTTTTCTTCTTGCCTAAAGACATAAGAAAACATACATCATATTTGGTCAAATACTGTATTATTTATTTATTCTTTTGCTTCTTTCCACAGAAAAAGGTTTGGTATTTTGTTTTTGGTTTCATAAAATTTATGTGCAAGATGAATATTATTCTCATATTGGTACCCTGAGGCTAAACTCAATAGAAATCATATTACTTTCAGTGGAATTTAAGCCTGCATTTATGCAATTAAAATCTTTTGCTTTATTAGGTTTTACACCATGTTAATTTGTATACTGTATAGTGTTTTTAGAGAATGGCTAAAGCCTCATTGCTCAGCATAGTAAGTTGCACTAGAGTGGGCTATTCAATCAGTGAGGATTTGGTGAGTCAAATCCTCAGTAAATTCAGTTGATTCATATGGGTGTCCTCTAGTTTCAACTTACTACTGGATTTCAGCCCATGTTTATAACATGGTATTCTAGGTGCCAAGAATACCTTGTAATCAACTCCCATCTGATTGTCTTCACTGAACTAATACTGTCTGTTTTGTCATCATCTGTGGGCATGTGCTATGGGCATGTGTGTGTGTGTTTATGAGAGTCAGTAGAAGAAAGAGGGATTATAGTTTCATTACATAACAGTCAGTTATGGAAAAAGCAATGTATTGTTCTGTACAGTGGTGACAATTAACTATTAGAACTTAAATTGTTTCTTGCCTTTCTCAGCAGCAGAAATGGAATGCAGGGCAGCAGACTCAAGCCACTGACTAGTTAGTTTAGTGTTGAGTATATTGCCTTGCACACTTCTCCAGAACTTAAGACAGGAGGGTTTTCCACTCTTACTTGCAGCTGCTGTGGATAGAATCTGGTATATTTTGCATGCAAAGCACAGGTCCTTCCTATGTTGTGTGCCCTACTGGTAGAAACAGAGATAAAGTCCACTTGCTTTAGGAGAAATAATGATCTGCCTTCCACTCAGGTAAATGTACTTCTCACTCTGTTTTACTTAGGTGCTTTGAATAAATTACATGTGCATTTCATACTGTTCAGGATGATGGCTTGCTTTTTTAAATAAAGTGATTACTGGTTATATTAAATTCAGTCCTTCCTTCCTTTCAAACTGAAACAAGTTTTTAGTAGTTTTTCATTAAGAAAACATGACTTTATTCTTACATGATGCATATTAATATGTGGGTATCTCTCAGTAACATCCTTTGGAATCCACTGTGTACAGTATAATAATACCTGGGGGGGGAATCATTTAATATTTAATAGGAAATGTCTGCATTTGACTTAATAAATGTAACCCTGATTCATGAATAAAACCTAATCATACATTTCATGCTTAATGTCTTTTCCAATATATATTCAAATAAATTTAGATGATAATAGATTAGGAGAATAACTTCAGTATAATTTATGGAAAAACATAAAGTCCTTTGTAAAGAGGAAGTCCAATACCAGTTGGTGCTGAAAAAAAAAGCTTAATAGCTGTGATGTTGTTGGTACAATTAGATAACAAAATTTATCAATTTGTATTTGCATAAATAAAACTATGTATTCAGTTTTCATTTCACACTCTTTGTAACTAAGGTACTTTTGTCCCCCTTTAAAGCAGTCAATATTTAAAACATATATGCTAAACAGAAAATTATGTTTTTTGTTTTTAAGAAACGCTCCCACACATCATTATTTGAGTATCTCCACTGTAGGTTTAGTTATTTAAATAAAAACAAACAAACAACACTTCATACTCCCCCTTGAGCATTAATGTTATGCTGTACTATGACTGGGATTCAGAAACCGTGTATGCACAGGAAACAGGAGTATTGCAAACCATCCTGTACAACAGTTATATTGGTGTACATATTTGCAAGTAATACACTGCTACTGTGTTGACAAATCACTTTGGTCTGGAAGCAGAGAGGTAAAAGAACCAGAAAATCTCCAAAGAGAAGAATATGTGCTCAGAGCAATTAGAGAAGCAGCAGTACCTTTCAGTGTTATACCATCCATGCTATGCTGACCAAACTCAGGAACTTTTCACATACCTCTAGATCACAGCATGCAAAGGAACATCACATTCCCCCACTCCTGAGGCATCCATTCCTTCAGGCCAGGACTTGAATCTTCTTATTCTAATGCTAGAGTTAATGAAGAGAAGAAATGATATTACCTCCTAGCTCCAGGGGCAGGAAACTCAGAAAGAATACACATATTCTTTCTGGAGTTAGAGTTCAGGACTTACTGAGTGGGGAAGGAGGAGTCATAAAAATGACTGTGACATGGACTACCAACCTGTTCTTCCACATACCACTCTTTGCCCTGTCTCCTCTAATCGTTTTGACCAATAGCCAATCCTGCAGCCACCATCCCAGCAAGTTTCATTGTCCCCATCCTACCATAGCTTTCTCTACACATACCCTTTCAGGAGTGGCCATTCTGCTTGCTGACTACCAAAAAGGAGTTCCCCTGCCTTTTCAGAAAACAAAAGATTGTGCAAAATACTCTCCTTGTGGTGGTGCAGGGGAGAGCCTTAGCTGTTTTTGGAGAGGCATAGCAGCATAATGCACATTTCATCTGTGATGTGATATCCTTGTGTAGATTTCATGTACTGGTTGTGTGTTATGATTTTAGATGCTGATTTACACCATATCTCATACTCTCATATCTCATGCATTGTCCAGCTATCTGCTTTTTAGTGTATGGATTATTTCTGTCCAAAGAGCTGCAAGTCACTGTACCTCTGCCATACCCACCAATTAATATGGGAATGATAACCAAGCTTTCAGGGTTGTAGTAAAGATTACAGAGATACTGTAAGGCATATTTCAAATGCCTTAGTGATTAGCTTCCTGAGCTTTATGATCCACAGGAGTTTGAGAAACTCAGTTCCATGTACACATAGCCATTTGTGCAAGTGCTTACATGATCTGGAACCAGTTGAAAGCAGCTTTATTTGGAAAACAGCACACACACATTTATAGCAGCTTTACTTGCTGTCATAGCAGCTTTAATCATACAGTTGTAGACTCTTTGGATAGTCAACTGACAAATTCTGCAGTCAGATTGGATACCTATTTTCTCAATTGACACATCTTTATTGTTACCATTCACATGATAATCGATATGAAACTGAAAGTTAGATTTCATGTCTTGCCTCTGTCTGTAAGACACTATGTATTTCAAAATCCAATAAAAATACACTTCCACTAGGAACTTACATGTAATAATTGAACTGCTGGATAACTCAGTGGCTTAAGTATCTGGCTTTGGAGTCAGAGGTTGGGAGTTTGATTCCTCACTATGCCTCCCTGATAGGGGCTGGACTCGAGGATTCATAGGGTCCCTTCCAGTTCTGCAGTTCTAAGATTATAACATGCAATATTTACGGTCCTGGCCTTTGTTGATGCTGCATGTACTGCATGTATGCTTCTAAGGCATATAGGAACAATTGAGTCTGTCTTATGAGCAAAGGAAAGGAGGGAGATCCATGTGTTTGTCATAAGATGTGAAAGTATCCTCACACATACTATCCTGAAAAAGGATTCTCAGTCACCTGGAATGGTCTCTCAGAGGCTTTTTCAAATCTTCTAATGAACACATGGAGATCCAGTATTAGATTGTCTTCAGGAGATAGAATAACATGCTAGAAGTGCTGTTATCTAGTCCTTTGGTGTATCTACTCCAGATATAGCTGTTCTGACTGGCAGTGAGTCTCCAGGGTCTCAAATGAGCTGTATTTCTCTCCTACTCCTTGAGCTGCTTCATTGGTGATCTTAAGTGTTGGCTATGGATCTTTCTGCCCAAAAACTGTGCTTTCTGCAGTTGAACTGTGCCCTCTGCAGAGCTTGGAAGCATGCAGTTTTGAACTACAAAATCCATCAAGCAGTTTGGCCATTCTGTCTGAGAGATTTGGGAGGCTGTCCAGTTTTTTTTTTAAAAAAAAAAAATACAACTAAGCTCTGCACCTTATAGTGGTCCTTTCCAGCTGCCCAGTACTTATACCCATAATGAAAAATCTATGCATCTAACCTGTCTCATTGAGGCATTCAGAGTAGTGTTAACCCGAATGTATAAACAGAGGAAGTTCTAGCTGCATCTCTGTATGTCTTTTGTTATATGCAACAGTCAGTCAGAAGAAAAAAAATAATGGTGTGTTCTGCATCAAAATTCTCTGCATGATCAAGAACCTTGATTTGGGGGAATGTTTGTAGTGCCATTGAGACGTTCCACATGAGCAAAAACCCTTGTCTGTTTCCCCATGGAGATATTGTCAGGCAAGGAACAGGACAAAAACTGTTCCCTTGTTTACATGTTCTGATTAACCCTTTTCTCAATGCCTGAATAGGGCTAGTCTAGTATATAATGAGTCATATGCTGATTTCAAGTTTGTTCCATTTTTCTAATGTGAGAATCAGGTATTATACAGGAATTGTAAGAGTCTGGTTATCTTTTCCAGTTCATTAGTAGTATTCGGTTCTCCTTAATGGTCCGCCATTGCTTGTTTTCCAGATTGCACTACATCACGTAACTATTTCCTGAAATCTCCTTGGATAACAAGAAGTTGAATTTATATTAATTCCAGTGAGTGTGTCCTAATGAATTTTGGAATAAGAATGAAGAGGGGAAGGAACATCTCTAGAAGCAGCATTCCCTTGGTTCTCTTTTTATGCCAAATCATTATTGCATTGGATGTACCTCTTGATCGTAAGTATTAGCAGCACCCAACATAAAGAGCATTGAGCAGATTTAGGTGTCATAGAGAAACATCCTGGTAACATACAATCAACCTATGGCGGGAAAAGTAGTACGGCATTACAGAGAATCACAATTCAACACTTCCTTTTTTTCCCCACCTACCTTAGTTGTAGAAAGTTCTAAAACAGCTTGTATTTGTCTTTATTTTGCCTTTATTTGTAAAGGAAATTGTGTTCTATGTGACCCAATATTGTTTCTTAATGTTTATTTTTAAAATGTATCCATAAATGTGCTGTTTGAGAATATACAACATATTAAAAATAAATAGCATACATTTAGTGAATATTATCCATCCTACTTCATAGACACGGATAAGAACCTCAGCTTAATAATTGTTGTCACTGTTTAGTAAATTACAGCTGAAAGATGCATCAATGTCTAAAATATTTGTAGTTATAATTGGTAGATGAAAAGAAATAATCACTGAACCAATCGCTCAAAGAAAACAGTACACCTGTTAAGCTGAGCAGGAGCATGTGATATGGAGAAGGTGTTACAGGGTGATAATCAAAGCTATATTTTGTTTCACACGCAGTTTCTCATGATTGGGGCACAGATTAGTTCTTTGAACAAAGGCTTTACGTGTGCATAAGTAATTTTTTTTGTAAGGGTACAAATCATAACATTGTAAACAGAAAATAAATGTGCAATTTTTCCTGTAGTATGAGTTAATTAAAACATAGCTGGGCATGATTAGTTCAATCCTAAAGTATTTTCATGGGTGTTTACATTCAAATACTGTAATTGGTTTAGCAATGAGAAAGCACAACTGATCCGTATTGCAAATGGACTAGAGCTTGGTGCTATTTGTAACTTTAAATTGAGTTTTAAGTGCATTGTTGTACTTCCATTTGGTCCTGGGGACAGATTGATTTTTGCCTGAAGCATTAAGGCACTGTGGTCTACCAATTCCATTTTCCTGCCTCCTTAGGACTTTAGCATTAATGCTACATATTCTTTATAGGTCAGAATAACAAGAAGTGTTTGCACTTGAACAATCAAGAAGAATCAAGACAAGTGTCTCATAGGCTGGAGTGTGAGAAGCTACACTGACTTGTCATGCTAACGAAATAACCAATGTTTCAGCTAGCTCAGTCGCATTTGTTAGAAAAGATCTGTGGAATGGGTGATCTGCATATTTTCTCAGTACCTTCTATTTCTTTTACACTTTTACCTTTTACTAACAAATAATTTTCTTTAATTCATGATTACAATTCACCTGCTGAATCTGATGTGGGGAAAAAAAGCAAAACTTCTTGAAGAATGTAAGTTTTCTGCCCACAAACCTAGACAATAAAAATTACAATGTGTGTGTTTTAATTCTTTTTTTTTAGTGAGTGTGAAGTGGCCTTTAGAAAAAAAATGGTTCATAGTATTGTTTGCCTGCATTTGTGCTGTGTACAGATGATTGATTGGAAGAAGACTGCAGAAACTATAGCCAGGAATTTTCTTTTTAGTACCTGAAAGAATGTCTACATAGTCACACAAGGATTCATGTAGACAGAGGTGCAGAGCTATTTTTCCTTTTCAGCAATAGTCTCTGGTTCAATGACATTCTTTTACATAACTTTAAAGACTGAAATTGATCACGCTAGCTTCTTTTTATAATTGTGTTCTAATCAATTTCACTATAAGATTAGGACAAATGATTGTGGGTAGAAAATTGAAGCCAAGATCCAGTTTACAGCACAGTTCTCTAACATTAAGCTGATTTAGGTCTAGTGCCATGGTAGCAATTAGTGAAAGGTTACTCCTGTTGCACCAGAGAAGTAATCATCTGTACACAGCCAAAGTGTGTGTTTGCTCATCTTTCCTCCTCCTTTCATGATGTAGAGGCATGCATTGCTTGGATGTGGCTCTTTCCATAACATGTGGACATGTTTGAAAGTGAATAAATGCCCATTACATTAAGAAGCCACTGCTCCTTCAAAGATTTTGGGGTGGTATTGGTTTAGTTTTGGGGCTCAGTTACAATCTCTTCACCAATCTGAAACCTCTCACCTATTTAAAGAAGATGGGCCATACAACTGGGTAAAATAAATCCAGTTGTGTTTCATGTGCCCAAAGTTTATTAAAAGTCTTAGTCTTTATTGCATGCTTTTGGTGCAATATGAAAACTTTGGTACAGTGGTGCCTTGCAAGACGATGTTAATTTGTTCAGCGAAAATCGCTGTCTTGTGAAAACATCTTGCAAAACACTGTTCCCCATTGGAATGCATTGAAATCTATTTAATGCGTTCTAATGGGGGGAAAATCGTTGTCTTGCAAAAATCGCCCATAGGAAAACCGTTTTGCAAAGCGTGGACCCAGCTGTCAAAATTGCTGTCTTGTGAAAAAACTTCCCTAAAAAAACCATTTTGCGAAGCGTGAACCCAGCTGTCAAAATCATCGTCTTGCGAAAAACCATCCCGAAAAAAAGTCTTTCGAAGCACGGACCGAAACATCGTCTAGCAAAAATCGCCCATAGGGAAAACCATTTTGCGAAGCGCTATAGTGATCGCAAAAACCCTTTATTTTGCGAATTAACCGTTTTGCGAGGTAGTTGTCTAGCGAGGCACCACTGTATTAATTGAAACTGCAATTCTTTTTACAATTCTCATGGATTTTGCATTCCAGTTTAATCAAACAGAGTCAATGGCTGGTGATTTAAGAAATTGCTTGATCCAATGCCCTTTGGCCTAGGTTATAGGTTCTTGAAGAACAAATAGTAAAGAGAACCTGATCTGACACTTGACTTTGTGATGTGTCCTTACTATATTATGTTAACTGAGGAAAGCTCAATGTGTCTACTAGAGGATGTCGACACTTATACAAATTTAGGGTCTTTATACAAAGTCACAGTCAACGTGCACAGGAACGTGCTGGTGGTTACTATCCTGGGTTCAATTTCCCTCTTTGTCTTAATCCTGCATATTCAGAACATCTGAAAAAGGCATTAAGTAATTTCATTAATAAGAAAAGAAGTTCTCTTGCAGTGTTCATATAAACAGTTGTTCTTAATAATGAAGTGTTCAATGCTGAAATATTAACTAGTGTGAAATGTTATGTGAGTAGATTGGCTATGCATTAAATTACTCTGCTAGAAGAATTGGTTTTATACATTTGGGCTAGACTCCTACAGACTTGTAAGTGCAAATTCCTCACTAACTTCAGGGGTACTCATTTCCTTGCAGGTTTGTGCAGGATTGCAGCATATTAGTGTTTGCTGTTAACATTATTATTGGTTTAATTTTTTTCTCTGAATACAATTATTTACCTTTTTTCAAGGTGATTTTATGTACTATGAAGATATAATTAAACATTTTTTTACTTTTGTTCTCAATCATGTTTTATAAAAGTGCCACAGCCTCCAACAATAACACAACAATCTCCAAAAGACTATATCATTGATCCGAGAGAGAATATTGTAATACAGTGTGAAGCAAAAGGAAAACCACCCCCAAGGTAAATAGTGGCTTTATTGTGTTACATCTGTGTATATTCGTTGCTTGTTTGCTGCATAGCTCTATATATGTCTGTCAGAAGTAATCCCCATTATCTACAATGAGGCTTTCTCTCCAGTATATTGCAACCTTAATGTCTAAATCTATAGAGAAATCTATGAGTGCAGTCTTTATAGAGAATTGTGAGTTTGCCATTAACCTTTCTATGTAGCATTTTACAACATGAAAGACAGAATTGTGTCTGGGGATGCAAAACTACCATCTCCTCCATTTAATTAGGCAATTAAAAGAATATGGTTTTCTACAAAGATTAGCTGTAACAAGTTTCAGCTAAGAGAAAATTGCTATAGAAACATTAACAAAGGCATTCATAATGGAACTGCTGATGCAATGTTTAGAATACAAGTTCTAGCAGACTTTCTGTAGGTAGGAAATGAAGAAGCTCAGCTACCCAGTTTCCCCGAAAATAAGACCTAACCTGAAAAAAACCCTAGTATGATTTTTCGGGATGCTTGTAATATAAGGCCTACCCCCAAAAAAGCTCCAGTTAAGTGAAACCCCGCCCTTCACTGTTGTGCAGCATTGTGCAGCAACCAGAAGAAGAAGACATGACTGTATTTGAATATAGATTGCTGTACGTGAAAAAAAAAAACATCCCCTGAAAATAAGCCCTAGTGTGTTTTTTGGAGAAAAAAAGAATATAAGACCCTTTCTTATTTTTGGGGAAACACAGTAGCTCTGTCTAGCAACCTAAGAATAAAAATATAAGCTTAGAAAGGGCATCACCAGGATTAGTAAGACTTCTTTCACTCTTAAACTGTTATCAGAAGTTTCATACAGCTCATGTTTTTCATCTAGAGCCATGTACTTACATATGCGTTCACTTACTCATGGTGAGCATCTGTAATTTTCCCTTGCAACTGTAAGGAACGTAGTCCTGTTTGTATTAATGAGCACTGAATAAAGGGAATTGTTTATTTTTAGAACAAATATCCTATTTCCTTCTTAGATGTCCCGTTAACATTGTAGTTATTTATATTGATCTTGTAATACTGAAATTGTATATGCTCTTAAAACAAAAGGTTTCGCAGATTTGCAAATTCTTCGACTTTTTTTCAACTGGTAGCTTTTCATGGACTCGTAACGGAACTCATTTTGACATAGATAAGGATGCACGGGTAAGAATGAAGCCACATTCAGGAACTCTTATCATAAATATTATTAATGAAGAAAATGGAGGAAGAGCAGAGTCATATGAAGGAATTTATCAGTGCATGGCAAGGAATGAGCTTGGTGCCGCCATTTCCAATAATATTGTCATACGGCCATCCAGTAAGTTGAATGCATGATATTAATGAAGCTCTTGCTATGTTGTTAACTTTTGATTTATTAAATTTTCTGTCTTCTTTTCTTTTATAAAAAAAGACATCTTTTTAATCATCAAAGCAATCTTGTTAGAAGGTAATGGTGTTTGATGTTCTAGCTTAGTGCTGTACTGCATGAAAACCTGTCCATTTTTTCTGATATTTTTACACAAGTTAAGCACGAGAGATCTTCCCCTCTTTTTCCAGGGCATTTAAAACTGAATATTGTATAAAGCATAGCAATTAGTTGGAACTGTTTTGATCCTTGAATTACTTCATACATTTACAAATTAGATATTGCTAATGTATTTTAAATATATTTGAGTAAGATCAAAGATATTGAAGTTAAAATGGTCAGTGAGGCATCCTAAAGAAAATTTTATCTCTTAAAAAGTTTCTTTAAATAGTAATGGTTTTATTTTAAATGATGAATTCACTTACGTTCAGCTATTCTGTAGCAACAACTGTTTCCATAGAACATACTAAATCATTGCAGTTGAGTGTGGGAGGCAGATACTGTATATTGTTGTTAATATTTGGTATGGCATTCCCTGACATACTTCTTGTGTTGCCTGCACTGAACTAGCAATGGAATATGTCGTTGAATAAATATGCAAGTGAGCACAGGACTATGTCCTTTATTTTCTGTTTTATTCATCTGAAATTTTGGCAAATAACTACTTCTAAAATGTCAAGTGAGGATTCTTTTATTCTTTTTTTAGAATTATTAATTGCTTTGCTTTCTACAGCACTCAGTATTGCATTATCCAGGGTCCTTCTATGAATATTTTAATAAGATGGAAAATTCCCTTTTGTTTGTTAATTAATGCTTGAAGACTGAGTTCCTTGAAATAGGAAAATCACACCATAATGTTCCTCCTAACTTTCCCTGAGATTACCACTGCTAAATTATTCACTGCCACTGAGATGATCCCTGCTAAATTGTGTAAAATTTGTTGATTTTGTATATTATGCAGGTTTTTTCCCCTTAGTTTTGGCGTTGCTGGTCTTTGTCATTCCCCAGGCCACATGACAATGATTTTTTCTCTGCAGGATCCCCTTTATGGACTAAAGAAAAACTAGTTCCAAAAATAGTAACTGAAGGTCAATATGCAATACTTCCTTGCAGGCCACCAATGGGATTACCACCACCTATAATTTTTTGGATGGATAACTGTAAGTTTACCTTTAAAATCAATAAGTAAATGAACAGATTAGCAGAACTCCATCTGCGTTTAGTAACCTTTGATACATTGGGACATCGTTATGTGGCTTTATATGATCCATGATGATTATTACAATGCTATTTCACAAGAAAACTGCTGTACATCAATTTGTGTCTGCTATACAGTGGTGCCTCATCACAACACTGTTTATACAGCTTTTGTTAACAGCTTGGTATGTGTTGGTTATATGCCAGTTCTTCAAACTGGTTTCTGCATAGTGGGATTATCATTTTTTGCTAATAACAAAATTGCATGTTATGGCTTTAGGCTCGTACAATGGTAACAGTATGTCATTATTAACACCATGTTGATGATACAGCAAGCAGACATTTCTATACATGACCCTGAGCCGAAGACTACTGTACTTAGTTCTTATTTCCTCCAAGGAATCTCCCAGTGACCCACATTTTGATCTCTATCCTGTAACTGTCAGAATCCTGCTTGTTCCTCCCAGTTACTAGAATCTGGAAGGTTGGGATGGTTGAAACCAATGGACTTTGCAAAGCAGTAGGAAGAAGTCAAAAGTGAAGCACTTAGTAATTTCATATGTGTAAAAAAGGCTCTTGAACTATAGTGGGAATACACCATGTATTTTCTTCTGTGATGTGCAAAAAGACATAACAGATCTGTTCTAAAATAAGAATAATATAATTACACATGAAGCAGTGGTGCCACTGGTTGTTGGAATTTATCTAGCTTCCTAAACCAATCAAAGCTTGGAAATTATGTTTTTGTTTTTTAGTAAATGAGTTATGTTTATAGCTTTGGGCTTCTAAGTAGTTAGATACTGTTATAGTTGCAGTTTTTAAAAGTAATACTTTGTTTTTCCCTATCTCAAAAGTCCCTTTATTTAATAGGCCTAACTCTAGGTGAGGCTAGCAGTTAGATTCAGTTCAGTGCAATAATGATGGTAGTTATACTATGTTACTGGAAGAAGGAATTAGTTATGTTTTTAAATATTTCAAGTGATGGTTATTATTTTAAAAATCCTCCTGAGGTTTGATACCTCTCTGAAACATGTGCTATAATATGATTGTGTACTCCCATAGGAACCTATCCCAAAACCTTGATGAGAGGGACTTTTCTTTATTATCACTCCTAATAAGTCAGGTGGCAGTGAGTAGCCAAAGGTGTCTTTTCAGTAGCAGGGCTTGTGTAGCTCCCTCCCCAGAGAGGTTTGCTTAATAACTGCTTTGTTTTTATTATATTTATGTCAAATTTAAGGTGCAAATGTTTCTAAGCTATTGATGAACAGTAGTTTCTATGTTATCATCTGAGAATGTTTGCATAGGATTCATTATTGTTTTATCAGTTTTTTCTGGGTGGATACTGCTTTTAATATTTTGTTGATATATGAATTCATGTTTTATTATATCTTGGCTGGCTGCTATGTTTTAAATATTTATCAACTATAATATAATATAAAATATAAAAAAGATAAAAAATTTCCAAACATAGTATAAATTTCTTGAAGGAACTATCTTACTCTCTTGGGCCCAGGATCATGTGCAGAAATCTCAGTGTGACCTGGTTCAGATGCATAATCAGCCTGCCACAATTTCTGTGGACTTCCTGCAGCTGCCATGATACAAGAAGTGGCACTGGTATGTCAGTGCTCAATCCAGTTCTGAAGATTTCTGCATGGCATTGTTGTTGTGAAGGCAGGATTGCCAGGAGAAGCACATGGTAGATAAAACACTTAAACCAACTCCTTATTGTTCATTGGAACTATAAAAATTTCTCCTTTTTTTCCACAGCTTTTCAAAAGCTGCCTCAGAACAGTAGAGTTTCACAGAGTCTAAATGGAGACCTTTATTTTTCTAATGTAATACCAGAAGATACCCGTGATGATTATATATGTTATGCAAGATTTAACCACACTCAAACTATCCAACAGAAGCAACCAATTTCTTTAAAAGTTGAACCAGGTAGGTATGAATTTTATAATTTTTTGTATCTACAGTATATTCAGCAGAAGGCTATCTTGCATCAGTGCAAAGCTAAGTTTCTTCTGTTTCTTCCTTGATACACAGACAACTGAAAGCTACAAAAATGGACTTACGTTTACATTTATTTTAAAATAATGTAAAATAATCAAGTATGTATTGCTAAATAGTTTGATTGCTTATATTCCATTGACATCAATAGGATTTAAGCTGCCTGTTCACAGAATTAGCAGGGTATTCCATAAATAGCCCAATTACACTGTACTGTGTCATGATACAAAATATCAGTGGAAAACCATCGACCAAAAATGAGCTTTTTTGTTGTCCTAGAGCAGTGGTCCCCAACCTTGGGCCTCCGGATGTTCTTGGACTTCAACTCCCAGAAATCCTGGCCAGCAGAGGTGGTGGTGAAGGCTTCTGGGGGTTGTAGTCCATGAGCATCTGGAGGCCCAAGGTTGGGGACCACTGCCCTAGAGTCTAATGTTGCAATTTCTAAAATATATAAATACAGTATATTAGCTGACAGTCATTTATTGTATAGATACATTTCTAGAACCCAGATTAACTTTGCGTGGTTGCATTTTTCATGATATTCTATTTATTTCAGTGGATTCATTGAATGAAACTATAACTGCTAATATGAGTGACTCTGATTTTTATGGTGGTGAGTTTTAGAGATGCACTCTGGCATTATACCTTTCATTGTAGAATATAGTAAACTAACTTTACTCCATGGCTGCTTAATGGTACTGCCCTTACAAGTCTAATACATACTTATGACAATAATTGTGCAGCACTTAGTTGATTTTGAAGTAATGGCAGAACTTTGCATGAAAAAAATATTTTGATGGAGTAGTGTAGCAGGCTTGCTAATATTCATGTGCTCTTGTTTCTTTTCCTTCTACATGAACTGATATTTCAGTTATCACTGAGTTTAATCAGTAGTGCACATGCTGTATCCTAAACTAAAAAACAATTAACAGATGCTAATCTTGCTTAATATGTTGCTGAATATGCAGCTTAACTGTTAACTGATGAAAATGTTTGTATTAGAAAGAATACATGTCTAGCATGTTTAAAAATATTCATGTTCTGTTGCTTATTTGCTCTCTTCATCTTGCATTTTAATTGTTTACAGAGGTAGCAATTTTTATAGGAATATCAGCCTACCTATAGGGCTACAGATTTGACCACATTGTTAAATTTTGTAATAATGCACAGACCAGTCTGCATTATGCAAACTATCCAAAGGGCAAAACTATGTATTAGAAGGATCCTAGCCAGTGTAATAGATAGTTTGTTTAGGTTATTCCTGACATGGTGGGCAGTATATTCCTTAGCAAATTATTAATATTAACCTGTGAAAAGAGAGAGCAGGCTATTTCTGACCCCACTATTCTAAATTATGTATATGATAAGGTAAACTGAAGACCAACAGCTATCTTTAAGGGTTCCCAATTGTGTGGAGATACACTGTGCACTCAGACTGTTTTCTTTCAGTTTTAGTGCTCTGCACAAGAACAAAGACAATACAGTGGGGTCTTGACTTAAGAACGGCTTGAGTTAAGAACATTTTGACTTAAGAACCACTCTCATAGGAAAATATTGACTTGACTTACATACTTAGATTTGAGTTAAGAACTGAAAAAAACCCACGTGGGAGGCAGGGAAAGTGCAACATGTGAACTTTCAGTTAACTGTTGGCCAGTGAAAAGGGTGCCTGTCTGCTTCCTCACTCCTCCCAGCATTTAGAGAGTGGATTGGGAGTCTTCAGACTGCCTGGTACTGCCTGGACTGTATTTTCCCTGCCTTCCCTGAACGTTTCTTGACCTAAGAAAAAAAGAAACAAAATATCCCCCTCTAGTGGTCGAAGGCAGAATAGCAGCTTCCCATTAGTTTCTATGGACGGAAAAGAGCAGATACGGATCAAATGGTTTTCAATGCATTCCTATGGGAAATGCAGATTTGACCTGAGAACTTTTTGACTTGAGAACCACCTTCCAATACGGATTAAGTTCTCAAGTCAAGACCCCACTGTAGGTGGCAGAGCAAGTCCACTTCTTCTTGTCATAAATTAAGAGAAACCTTTTTATTGAATGTCTGAATAAGGCATTTTTAATTCTTAGATGAATCAGCTTGCCTCTATCTGCCATCCTTGCCCATTTTCAAGGAAGACAGTATTGCTCCTCATGTGCACATTTGATAGACACATACACAAACAGTCGCACACACATACACAGTATGACTGAGGGAAAATTCTGTGTGGCCATATTAGGGCCAAGGTGATAACAACCAAAATAAATATGTGCATCTGTTGTCCCCTTTCACAGGTAAGTGTAGGGCAGATTTCTTGCTGCTGCTTGTCTCAAGCTGGGCAAATCCTCAGGAATTTCCCCCCTGTTGTCTCCTAAACTGTATATTGAGGGTGCTGCCCTTAAGGAAGAGTTAATTAAGAGAGAGAAATAGACAGCTACATACCCTGTTTCCCCAAAAATAAGACCTAACCTGAAAATAAACCCTAGTATGATTTTTCAGGATGCTCGTAATATAAGCCCTACCCCCCCCCAAATAAGCCCCAGTTAAGTGAAACACTGCTCTCCACCATTGTGCAGCAACCAGAAGAAGATGACATGACTGTATGCAGATTGTTGTACATGAAAAAAACATCCCCGGAAAATAAGCATTTTGGGGAGCAAAAATTAATATAAGACCCTGTCTTATTTTCGGGGAAGCACAGTAGGAGAGCAAAAATGTGCTACATTTACGGAGGTTTTTTGTTTGTTTGTTTTGTTTTGGCTGGTTACAATGAATCAGCTAGGACATACAGTTGCAAACTGCATGTGAGAGCTAGGCTACATGCACTTTGGAATTCTTTGTTTGGTGACTTGTGAAACTTTTATGAAAGCACGCAGAAAAGGAAGGCCCTGGTTACTTGAGTTTTTGTGAACTCAAGAATCCCCCCCCCCCACAATTATGTTGAAGGGGAGAGTTCAATGTATACAGCTTGTTGAAATGAAAATAGGATTGCTGACTCCAGACATCTGCGTCCACAGATGACAGCTTGCAAATCAAGATTGAGAGTTATGGGCTTGTAGTTATTTGGTTACTTCTTACAATATGATCTCTTCCTGGGTTTAACTGCCCTATGAATTTAAACTGGCTGAACAGTCATATCTTTTCTCCAGAGTAGGACATGTATCTGGTATGGTCAGAAAAGTACAGTAGCTCCTTAATGTATATATGTGAAGGTTAGGAGATTAGTGTGCTACGGCACTGTTGAGCAGACTTCAGGATTGAGGAATTTGCTTTTAGGAGAAGGCTAATATCCACCAACTGCAGCTTGGGGCAAAAGACATTAAATCAAAGAATTATGATGCCAGGAATGTGTGTGTGTGTGTTTTAAAAAATCAGAACTAAACTGCCTTCCCAGTCCTTCTACACAAAAATCCACTTTATCACAGTCACCTTAGGTTTTCTACACTTCCGCAGTGTAGTTTACAGTAGAGCTGGTGAAGTCAGCCACTGTTGTTTTCAGAAATCTTTGCTTATTGACTGCAAACCACCCAGAGATCTACCAGTAAATCTGAATTTACCTTTTGTCAGTCCCTGTTCAATAGGATTCTGAACACTTTGTCAAACTATAATTACATGGAATTGTTTAGTGAAAGTGGAAGCCATAGCAATTAAAGCCACTGTTAATTTTGCAATGAAGATGTTCTTCGCACCCCACTAATTATCTATACTTGTTTGGAGTGAATGGGATGTTGCAAAACTGCATAGATATATGTGAGATAATTTCACATGATAATACAATACACAAATTTAAATTAGAAGATATCATCCATGAAACTCTCTCCTACTTTTGACTCCCCCGCTGCTTCTGCTGATAGAAGCCCCAAAACACAGAAACCCCAAACTACCAAAATAGTCCTGGATCTTCACCATATCATATTTAATTGTTCTCCAGATTTTGTAAAGTAGTGAAATAAAACATAGAACTATAGGTTAAAAATGCTTATATTTAATTAAGGAATGTCTATGTGCATGAATACAGTATATGGTATCAGCTACCATATGCATTTACACTATATCAGCATGCCTTGTTTTACTATACTAGGTTTGGAATTACATTTGAAGTATGAATACTTTTGATAGGTCCTTTTTCTTTTAGCCAGATTATATCCAGAAAGACGGCCAACTCTTCTAACACCCACTGGAAGCACAAGTAGCAAAACAGAGTTAAGAGGAAACACCCTTCTGTTGGAGTGCATTGCAGAAGGATTGTAAGTTATCCTTAAAATCAAGCAACCTAAATACATTAGTCAAAATTATGTTTTATGATGTATGTATGGATAGCAGTGGTTTAAATATCTGGCTGTGGAACTAGAGGTTGGGAATTTGATTCACCACTGTGCCTCCTAGGGGAGGAGCCAGCCTGTGTAGTCATGGGCAAGCTGCACAGTCCCAGGGTGTCCCCAGAAATAGGGAATGGTAAACCACTTCTGTGTATTCTCTACTTAGAAAACCCTGGAAAGGGTCACAAGTCGAAATTGCCTTGATGGCACACAGTCATTATGTATTTACACACTAGTTTGCTGCCAAAGTGTTACGCTGTCACACTTGAATAGTTTGGTGATGCATGTACACAGAGAAAAAGAAATGAAGAAAGCTGACAGTCTTGTTCTTCCTCCTTCTTCTCTCAGGACATTTTCGTAATTCCTCGTGTCTTTGCTCTACAAGTAAAAGAAAAACCTTTTCCAACATTTCTAAGAGCATGTAGGGGAACACTTCATTTTAATCTCCTCATTGCCTTAAGTGTACCCTCATGATACACTTAACATTGTTATTCCTTATCTGTTCCTATTTCTTAGCAATGTAAGAAGCATCACAAAAATGCTCAGGAAAGTAGAGATTCCTCTGGTTCATAATTTGAACACCTGGGCTGTCTTTCTTTTATTGCTTTCTTGCTCTGTCCTAGGAGGGAACAGATTGTACAGTAATAATTGTATTATGAAAGAGTTACTTCGTTCCCATTTTCTGTAGCAAAAATTAGCAATAGATTGTAGGACAAGAATTATTATTCTTCCTGAAGTTCAGACTTCCCAACATGTAAGGTCTCTAATACAAAATATATTGTTTATTTATGTATTTTTCTTACTCTGCCAACCTTCAAGAATGATTTAGTCCTCTGCTGGGAAATAGTTGTGTATGTGTGGGGGTTTTAGTTATAATTTAGTTATAATTAATTATAACTGACTAAATCAGTTATTGTAAAGAATTTAGGCCAATATTGAGTGGAGCTGTAATTATTAAAGTTACCAGTCATCTACATTTGCTTGCTCTAATCATTTTTGTCTTATCTGCTCTTGATATTTTTTCCCTTTACTAGACCTACACCAGCCATCCAATGGATTAAAGAAGGTGGTGAACTTCCTGTCAATAGGACCTTCTTTGAAAATTTTCATAAAACCCTCAAAATTATTGATATTTCAGAAGCTGATTCTGGGAATTATAAATGTATGGCAGCAAATCGTTTGGGTTCTGCTCACCATGTTATTACGGTCACTGTTAAAGGTAAAGCCATTCCAGTTTCTATATCATGCTGGAATCTTATACTTGTATTCCATGAGGTGTTATCTAATTGTGCTTCTGAAAAAAATGTTTCCAAATGACCAACTGTGTTCATCTGCAACACTTGTCTTGTGAAATTTCAAGAATAACATATTAATTACAGCATAAACTGTCATCAGCTGCTCTGCTTCAGCAGATGATATAAACACTCCATGTATTACATGAATTAGGCTATAGTCTATTACAAGCAATGCAAGCATAAATTTGTTAGTCTTTAAAGTGTCACAGAGTTGTAGAAATTTAGACAGAATTTCTGAGCAGTATTTCCAAATTCAAGTTCTTGCAGATTACTAGATTAGAAAAGTAGCCTTCAATAGACTAATTGGCACATTCTGATAAAGCCCAGATCTGATCATTTCCAAAGTACTTTTTACGTGCTCCTAAAATCTGTGCATAACATCATATCTGCAATGCAGAGAAGCGTCAGCAGAACAAGTTGCTGGAAAGTGACCTTCCTTCTTCTATATACATAGGAGAAGTTATTTTGAAATTCTGCCATCATGCTGAAGGTTTATGCAGATGTTTGTAAGCTCTTCTGTAGGACTAGGTTTGTGGTGGAAGTATGGGCATGAATGTAAGTATTGCCACTGAAAGTTCTCACAACTGGAAGTGTGGTAGTTGAAAAGATAATTTTGGCAGAAAAGAGTTACAAGCCTATGGGATCTGGAGTCCTCTTTTATCAGCATTCCCAGTCCAGAAGCTCTGTGAGCACATAACAGTCTTCTTTGGACTTTCATTAGCCGCCCATGAAATACACTAAACTCTCCAAATGCATTGGAATATTCAGAGCAAGCCTTACATGCATGCCACTGTAATTTTAGTCTTCATACTAGCTGATTCATGCCTGCATGAGGTTTAAATACAACCTGTGTAAGGTAGTTTAGTATCATAAGGTCTGTAAATACAGATACTAACTGTCATTGTTGCTTTCTTTCTTTAAATGTAAGCTGCACCTTACTGGATAAGAGAACCTGCAAACCTTGTGTTATCCCCTGGAGAAAGTGGTTCTTTGATATGTCAAGCTAATGGCAAACCCAAACCCAGTATAAGCTGGTTTGCTAATGGAGTTCCTATTGCAAGTAAGGATTGTTTTATTTTATTATTTTGAAAATGATATAATATTAAGGACAGGACTAATAACATTTTTTGCCATCAGGGCAGGAACAACATTGTGACAGTTATTCATTATCTCACTCAGCAGGAGGACCCTCAAATGCAGCAGGAGGATTCATGTTATAACAAATGAAGTAATGTGCATTGCCATCTAAAGAGGCCCTGTAAGACTGCTGAGGCTAGAGTATTTTATTACATAACTGTACCACTTATCAATATGTCCCTTTAGGAGAGGTTGTGAAGCTTTCTAGGATAAGATCTCCAAGTATTTATCAAATAGCCCAACAGGAGAGTGGCCCAAAAGAAGAGAAATAGGGGAAGGGAATTTTAATATGTTCCCGTCATCCTTTGTTTCTCCTGCTGAAGTAAAGTGCAACTCGCTGTCATCTGAAGATTTTGTCCTTTCCACAAAACTGCTAAGCAAGAGTTTGAACCAGCTACTCTGGAAGGAAAGGTTTTATTTGTTGCCAGAAGGGCAATTCAGCACTGAACATAGATTTTTAGGCCTATTCAGGAGGAGTGTTCATATTACAATTATTTATAAATAGGATAAGTCATGTCTGCATTTTGTCAGGAATCTCAAATGAATTGTGGAATTTAGAAATTCCATTTCTGGTTTACATAGCAGCTAGACCAGTTAGCATGATCAGAGTAATAATTTGTAGAAGTACTGAATGCATCAGTTTCCAGTAAGTTTTACTATTTACATTGCACAATATTTATATTTAAATATTCAGTATTAAAATATGGTAATATATTCAGTAGTCTGATATATTTGAACAGAATATATTTTTAGACAAAGACTATGTTAAAATATATTATATGCCTGAAATAACTGTTAATTGTCTTCCCTTGAGGAAACTGTTCTTTGATGTGGAATGCATGGAATAACCTACCTTTAACTGTACATAGATTAAAGTAGCTCTATGACTGTTGGCTTTCTACCTCAGTGTAGGGAGATGTAGACCAAGGGCAGCATTTCAAATAAATAGGAAGATTTGAATTTCAAAGCTATGTAGTCCCTGTAGGCTTTGCAGCATGTCTCTGTTTTTGTTTTCTAGCCAGGAAAAAAAATCAACAGAGAGATATTCTAGGCTTTGTTTTGCACATACTACACAAAAGGCTAAGAAATATTGAACCTACAGAATTTTATTCTTAGCTATACTTCCCAAACATGTGTGTTTGTGCTTGTGTGTACATGCTCTTATGCACATCCGTATATGCATGCAAATACATGGTCCTAAGCGCTCAGGAAGGCTACAGAAAAAAGTGAGCAGTACTATATTTGATTTAAATTGTTTTTAAGAACCCTTTTGTAATGAGATGTTGTGAAGTAGGAATATGCACAGTGAAATTGCTCACATTTCTTCTGTTTTGGATTTTCCTGGAGGGGTGCCTCTGTTTTTAATATTTTATACACACCAGCCTTTTAGTTTTACATGCAGTGAAAAGCCTCTTTGGTATAATTCATTTTAGATTTCCTCATCCATGTTCTTTGGCACTCCAAAAGCCCTTAAAAAGCCTTTGAAAACTGCTTAGAGGCAAGGAAACAGAATTGGTTTACTCCAAAAGTAGGCAGGAGTACATGAGAAAGAAGTAATCACCAGACCCATGCAGGAAGTAGTTAGTATTAATACATTCATCATCATTGTATGCACAGAGCAAAAAAACAAAAACAAAAAACCCCTCATTCATAAACCACCCTATTCCAAAAGCAGTAAAGCATCAAAAAATTGGAAAAGAGAAAGCAACAAAGACCCTCTGAACCTCGGCACCGCATTAGAAAAAAGACAAGGAAAGAGCCAGCCCCGCAGGCAGTGACTGCCTGGCACACAGAGAAAGATTTGCTCACCAAAGGAATCAGCAGCAACAAGAACAACAGGAGAGAAATGCACCAAGTTCTGACCAACCAACAACAAAAACAGAAAAAAATGGCATTAAAAAAACACCTGAATTACCTGTCCTCAAAACCTAGAAAACTGAGGAAGAAAACAAGGACAAAAATAATTACCCCTTCCAAATGAAAAACTATGGAATATGAAGAGGTTTTTCTTCCACCACCACTAGACGTCTTCTCCTTTCATCTTTGAGTCCAGCAGGCAGTCTGGGAAGCAGCAAAAATAATTCAGAAAAGGAAAGAACCTTTAAAAAAGCGGAAGAGGGGAATTTAAACAAAATCCCAAGAGGGCATATTGGCACAGGCATGCTGCCAACAAGCAGCAAAAATTATCCAAAGATATGGGAGGAATTCTCCAAAAGATCAAGGCAATAAAAACAAAAAAAGAAAAGGATCCACGATGAAGGCACAACAGGAAGAAGGGCAGGTAGGCAGCAATCCAAGATAGAGGCCACCAGGAGCTCAGCACAAATTAATCCAACAAGGAACAATTGAAGCAAAGAACACATCTCACTAGGTTTCAGTCTTTTTTTACAGCTTCAAAATTCATGCTCCCCTCCTGGAGATTCTGATTGCTGATAATAATAGCAGTTGTGAATATTTTCTCAGGCGATTTGACAGACAAAAAGGGATAGAAGAGTTACACAGAAGTGGAAACACAGAGAAATGTGAAACCTCTTTCTTTAACACGAATCGTTTGTTTAAGTGGCTCTCTTCCAGCTAGATTTAAAAAAGGAAGAGGTACTCAAATTGTGTTGCAAATATCTGCTGGGTACTGAAGCACAACAAAAAGATTCAGAAAAAGATGGGTTTATACTTTATACACCACAGCACAGCCTTTGTCTGGATAGAACACGAGAAACTATGGGCTGTTCTGAAAGAAATGGGTGTGCCTTAGCACTTGATTGTCCTGATGCATAATCTGTATTGTGGGCAACAAGCTACTCTTGGGACAGAATATGGAGAGACAGAATGGTCTTTGTAAGCAAAGGTGTTAGACGTGGATGCATTTTATCCCTTTACCTATTCAGTACGTATTCAGAACATACAATACAGAAAAACAGACTAGTTTCAGATGAAGGAAAAGTGAAAATTGGTGGAAGAAACATCAAGAATTTAAGATATGCACATGAGAGCATCTTAATGACAGAAAGCAGCAATGACCTGAACAACTTTTAGTGAAAGTGAAAGAAAGTGCCAAAGCAGGACTGCAGTTGAACATTAAGAAGATCGAAATCATGACTGCAGAAGATCTATACAACATTAGCATTGAAAATGGAGAAACTGAAAGATTTTGTATACCTTGGTTCACTTATAATTATCAATCCAAATGGAGATTGTATCCAAAAAATCAGAAGACTTGAGACTCAGAACAGCAGCAATAAAGGAACAAGAAAAGGTAATCAAATACAGTATAAGGATTGGAGACCAAGACCATGATCATCCACACTATTATATTTCCAGTCACCATTTATCTGTGTGAACACTGGACAGTTAAGAAAGCTAACAGAAAAAAAATTATTAGTTTGAAATGTGGTGCTGAGCGTCTTTTTAAGCTCTAGAATACTCCGAGGAGTCCTGCACAAGCACAGTAAAACCCATTTGTGTGGATTCATAGAGGACCACTTGAAGAACCATGGTTACAGGTAAGTAATTGTTTGAAATGTGGTACTGGAGGAGAGTTTTGTAGATACTGTACACTAGTCTGCCTGAAAGATGAACAAGTGGGTCCTAGATAAAATCAATCCTGAACTATCTCTGGAGGCAAAAATATTGAAACTGAGATTGTCCTAATTTGTATTTAGGATCTTTTGCTTAGACATGAAAATCTCATCCCTAATGTTTACCTGTTGTTAGATATTATAACCTGCTGCATCAGACCTTTCTCCAAACCTCCTCTCATTTTTTTGTTACTAACAATCCAATAAGAATGTATTTTCAAACAAATCTTAACAGATGTTAACATCTGCTTATTTCTAAAAGTTGCTCCTGAAGATCCTAGCAGAAAAGTAGATGGTGATACAGTCATTTTCAATGACGTGCAGGAACGATCAAGTGGTGTTTATCAGTGTAATGCTTCTAATGAATATGGATATCTACTGGCAAATTCATTTGTGAATGTTTTAGGTAAGACCATAGATTATTTTTTTAAAAATTGGAAGGTTACCGTAATGAGTTATAGTTTTGTGATTTTTTACCTTTAATTATTTACAGCGTAATGATATATATGTTTCTTTAAATGTCTTACAATTGACACTTTGGTGGGAGGTTAATGATTACTAAACTGCATTTAATAGGACAGATATTTTAGCCTTCAGAGTTACATTTTGTTTCAAAATCTGTGAAGAACGGAATGTGTAGCACAGACATTCTGCATTATCACATACACAGTTGTAAACAAAACTCCCAAATTGCAGCCACTTCCATATGCTCAGTGTTTTCCTCTCTCTAACCAAAATGGAGCTTCAGTCAATTAAAAACAACACTATCTGGATCACATTTTTAAAATTTCATATCAACCAATACAATGCACTGCAGCAAAAATGACAACAACAACCCTAACAACAACTGTTTTTTTTTGGTGAACCATAATACAGCAAAGCACAAGTGTCATGATTTGGATTTCAATACATTGTTGCCTTTCAAGGAAAATACAGGAATGTCCTCATATGAGGGTACTGTAATTTATTTGGTTCAGGAAATGCCCACCAATACAAAAGGCATCTGTTTATTTTATCTGGGTTTCTTAAAAATCATATATTTAGATTAGACACACTTGGTTCTTCATACACTAACAGTCTTTTGTACCTGGGACATTTTACCGCTCTCTAAATACACTGAAATTTTCACTGAAGTCAGAAAGTACCAACAACTCACATAATGCAAGTTTGTTTTCTTCAAACCTAGTGCATGTAGGTTACAGGGATACCTAAAATATATTAAAATCAGTGGAAAAAATAGGAGGAAAAAAAGCATAAAAGTTCCACCCTTTCAATTTCATCAAATGCTAGCCCAAATAAAAATGTCTTAGTACAACTGTTTGTTGCTCATTCAGAAAGATTATGCAAATATAAATTTTGCCAATTCTTCTTCACTCTTATTCCACACTACAGCAAATTTAATCAGGTATGAAACTTCAGCCATAAGGCTCTATCTGGAAGTTCATAAATCATGTTAATTTTTGATATCCTTGTCATAAGATTATACAGATTCTAATGTTTTATAGTTCTGGATTTCTGTGCTGTTACTAAAAGCTTGCTCAATTTATGATTTTTATTTTTATAACAAACAATCATTATAAAGCCTGCTGATTATAAATATGAGATGACACAAAGGATGTGTATGCAAAAAGAGTCATCATTTTATTTTTCTAGAAAGCTTGGCCTGTTAAACTCAAGATGTAAATACATAATCATGTGGTTTCATTAGCTGAAGACCTGAATTGAGGAACTCTATTCAGTTCAAAACTACAACATAATTAAAGATAAAAGAAATTAATAAAAAGAATGTTCTGTGCTATAATTATGATTAAATATTGTATTTATTTATTCAAAATACTTTTGTGCTACTTTTCTTTATAGATACATCCAAGAGGTTAATTAATGCTGATCAGTAATGTATTTTTTGTTTGTTTCAGCTGAGCCTCCAAGAATCCTCACCGCTTCTAATACACTTTACCAAGTCATTGCAAATAAACCTGCACTACTAGATTGTGCTTTTTTTGGTTCACCTGTACCTGACATTGAATGGTAAGCCACTTGAAATGTTGAAAACTGAAATAAATTTAAGTGTCATTCTCAACAATTATTTAACGTATATTTTGATTTACTCCCAAACATATGTGTAAATTATAGCAAAGAGCTGAGTGGCTTTCTCTTTCTGTGCTTCTGAATATCCCCCCCCCTGCAGAAACATCATAGATGTGTTTACTTAATGTTTCATTGTATGTTCTGTATGTTCTTCTTCCAACATTTAGGGCAAAAGTAGATGTTGTCTTTTGTATGTAATCATATATACTCTGTCCTATTTTTAAAATACTTGTCAAAGGAGAAGAATTAATTTTACTGCTGAGTTTTCAAATTAGCTCCAGAAGCAAGTGGCAGTCTTGGGTGATCTGGCAGCAGGCTGGGTGGTGGGGATTTTACTAAGTGGGCAAGATCTGACTCACTTTCCATGTGTGCAGCATAATGAATATATGCTGGTGTCCTGATCCCCATGGTGAGGGTAGACAGTTTTATTTTTAAAAAAGCAAATACTAGGCATATTAATTACAAGCCCATATATTGCATTTAATATGCTTTGGTTCTTACAATTCCTATATTGAAAATTAGTATTTTCTTAATGTCTTTCATATAATTTAATAAATACAAGTACATCTTTGGTAATTTGGAGTATAAATGTATATTTAATAGTCACCCATTGTTTCCATTTGAGGTTTAAATTAATTAGTAAACTTAGATGATATACATAATACTGTGTTTTTAATACTTAGGTTTAAAGGAGTGAAAGGCAGTATTCTCCAGGGAAATGAATATATTTTCCATAAAAATGGAACATTGGAAATTCCCGTGGCTGAGAAGGATAGTGGTGGCACGTACACCTGTGTAGCAAGAAATAAACTAGGAAAGGTTCAGAATGAAGTTCATTTAGAAATCAAGGGTAAGAAGTTATGACTCCTTTGTAAAGCTCTACTGATTAAAGTTTACCAGTTTCTATCCATCAAATGTCTTAATACTAATTTTATATTTCAGAGCCAACAGTGATTATTAAACAGCCTGATCACAAAGTTGTGCAAAGGACTGGACAGGTTTCTTTTGAATGTATTGTTAAACATGATACTACCTTAATACCCACAGTTACGTGGTTGAAGGACAATAGTGAATTGCCAAATGATGACAGGTATGTACAGAATTCCCTTTATTTATTACTTTTCTCTGTAGGTAATAAAGCATAATCACCAGAGTAGTTTATAGGAATGCATCTTTCCTTACATATATGCAATGGCACAGTATTTTAATATATACTTAATATTTTACCTATGCATTGTTAATCAATTTATTTTAGCTTTGGCAGGAAACATACTGATGTTTGCACGTACAGTTTATATGATTTATCTTGATTAATTGCAATTCATTTATGAGGTAGCAGGGCACATTCTAGTTTCATAATCAAAAACATGCCCAGGTATGTGACCATGACTCCTTATCAGCTGCTATTAGCAAATCATCATATGTTATACAAGCACCAATAAGATTCCAACCAAGACCTTTAGTATTGATTGCAAATGTCCCCAAATACAAATTAACAACTATCGATATAAAAATCAGCCTTACTTAGTAATTAGATTGAACTAAGCTGTTGCAACAGGATTCCTATTCAGACTTTTGCAGCATTTGAGGGGAAAGCCAAATAATGAATTTAAAATCCTGAATTAAATATGAAGCTTTATTTGTGTCAATAATGAAATTATAGGTTTGATCTTTTTCCAATGTATATGGTCCATTCTATTAATCATCTTGCAGTATGTTTTTTTTCCTTTTTCTGGAAAAATCCTTGCTAGTATTCCTGTACATTGTAGAGTTTGACCACAACGAACCTTTAGTCAGAAGCATTAAAAATGTAGTTGCAGATTAGTTTAAATGCTATGAAAATACTGTAGTAAAGTTGGCCTTTTATATATTCTTTCCCAGTACTTAAATTCTTCCCCATGCAGGAAGTGCTGATAGCTGTATCCAATCATTCAGTAGCACCACTGGGGAGAAAACCTTTAAAACTCAGAAAAAGATATTCATCCAAGTTTTTTTCTTTGTTCTTTTTGTACTAGAGTAGGCCCATTAAATCAGTAGGGATTTAGTGAGTTAACTCCTTTGTAACTTCCATTGATTGAGATGGACCTACTCTAGTTGTGACTTACTGTGTTAAAGTAAATCACAACTAGAGTAGGCTCACTTGAATAAATTAACTTACAGAGGAGTTGGCACACCTTATCCCTAATGATTTAATGAGCCTACTCTAGTGTGACTTACCATAATGAACTACAGCACTGGTCCCCAATCTTGGGCCTCCAGATGTTCTTGGACTACAACTCCCAGAAGCCTTCATCACCGCCTCTGCTGGCCAGGATTTCTGGCCAGAACATCTAGAGGCCCAAAGTTGGGGACCACTGAACTATAAGATATCGACCTCCATCTCAGTCTATAGTCTTAAGCATGTTTACATAAGAGTAAGCCCTGAAGAATATAACAGGACTTACTGGTCTTGTATCAGATTTATTTACTGGCCACTGAAAAGAAGTTTTTAAAATGCTTAGTTGTTTATGGTGGGAAAATAGACATTCTGTATTTTCAAACTTATTGACATCTTTTTTCCCATCATGTCAGTTGCAATTATTTGACTACATTTTTCCTTCACTTTTCTTGACAAAAGCTAGAACCTACCCAGCAGTTAAGATCTAGCCAGGGGGCCCTTTTGAAAGAGCAGTCCCTTAAGGAGGTAAGAGGGACGGCTTGTAGACAAAGGGCCTTTTCGGCAGCTGCCCCCAGACTATGGAATGCCCTCCCGACTGAGATTCGTCTGGCCCCGACGCTGATGACATTTCGGCGCCAGGTCAAAACTTTCCTGTTCCAGAAGGCTTTTAATTGAAATAATATTAGCTGTGGGTTCGATGGCAATTTTTATATATATATTAGTTGCATTTTAATTGTTCTGAATTTTTATTGTATTTTAAATGTTGTAAGCTGCCCAGAGACCATTGGGTAGTGTGAGTGGCATATTAATTAATTAATTAATTAATTAATTAATTAATTAATTAATTAATTAATTAATTAATTAATTAATTAATTAATTAATTAATTAATTAATTAATTAATTAATTAATTAATTAATTAATTAATTAATTAATTAATTAATTAATTAATTAATTAATTAATTAATTAATTAATTAATTAATTAATTAATTAATTAATTAATTAATTAATTAATTAATTAATTAATTAATTAATTAATTAATTAATTAATTAATTAATTAATTAATTAATTAATTAATTAATTAATTAATTAATTAATTAATTAATTAATTAATTAATTAATTAATTAATTAATTAATTAATTAATTAATTAATTAATTAATTAATTAATTAATTAATTAATTAATTAATTAATTAATTAATTAATTAATTAATTAATTAATTAATTAATTAATTAATTAATTAATTAATTAATTAATTAATTAATTAATTAATTAATTAATTAATTAATTAATTAATTAATTAATTAATTAGATAGATAGATAGATAGATAGATAGATAGATAGATAGATAGATAGATAGATAGATAGATAGATAGATAGATAGATAGATAGATAGATAAATAAATAGTATATTATTCTTTGCTTCTGTGATGCCAAACTTCATATTAGCCTAAAGATTGCTTGAATTAGAGTTAATACTTTTAAAATAAAATAATTTTGTTAAAGTCCACTGTGACTAGTTTTCCCTATCTAGGGTAATCTGTAAAATTAATCTGATTATGTTTCATTATAACATATATTGATACTGATTTTTTTTTTAAAAAAATTATGTGTTCCATGTAATACATTTTTCAAATATTTGTTAGAATTCTGTTGTGGAACTATTCCACACAGCAGGAATGATGTCACAGAGAGCAGCATATTGCTACTAATTAAAGAGATTTTGTTTTGACTTTGGATTGCTGGCAACCTTGTCTCACTGCATGTGAGTAGCATACAACCTGAAATTGAAGCAGAGATTCTTTAATTAATGGCAATCTGCAGCCACCAGTGACATCATTCCTGTTAAACTGGCATATCTGTGCAACAGAATACTGATCACTTAAATCATTGGGGAGGAGTACCTTGTGTTCCTGGCATTGCATATTTAAATGTTTTTAAAGAGTGCGTTCTGGGACCTTCAAGAGGTCAACTGGAAATTTTCAGTTTCCCAAAAACTGCCACAGCTGATACATCATCAGTCTTACAAAACTTAGGTTGTGCTGCAATATTTCAGCCAATATTTAAATGATACATGTTGCTCAGTATATAAAGGATACTGCCTCAGCATTAGCAAGTAGGTTACATAATTACAAAATAACTTCAGTATTTATATAAAGATTCCATGTCACTGCATTTTTCTGATGTGTATTTAGAGTTATATGAAGCAAGTGAGTGATTAAATCTATTGTAATTACAGGTTTATTGTTGGTAAATACAACTTAACTATTATGAATGTCACTGATAAAGATGGTGGAGCATATACTTGCATGGCTAATACTACTCTGGACAGTGTTTCTGCAAGTGCTGTGCTCACTATTGTTGGTAAGGTTTGATAAACTGTGACAGTGTTCATTGATTTTAAACTAATGCAATACTTCAGTTTGTTCTGTAAAATCTGGAATTGAAGATAACAGTAAATTCTCCAGTAGATTCAGCAATATATTTTTCAAAATAATTTTCAAATTGAAAACGGATATCATGCCCAAGTGGATCTATTATCTCAATTGACCCTCTCTGATTTCTCCTGCAAACCTGGGTAACCTGCCTTAAACCATCCCTGACTCTCAAAACTGGCTTCTCATGGGACAAACATGGCAACAGGCCAGTAAGAAACAGCACATGAGTCATTATGCATACATTTTATTGAACCCAATTGTACAGAACTCAAGGAATTAATGCCTGTGGTCTTGAAAATCTGTATCTTAGAACAGATATTATTCCGTTTTCAATAATATCAAATGCATCAAAACAGCTCAGTTTACTCTTAAATGAGTGGGAAAGCAGAGTGTTATTCTTTAATACAAGTTAAGCAAGAATTTTTGTTAGTGGTTGTCTTTTCAAAAGTGAAAGTGTTTGGTATTTGCAATAGTTTGTTACCTGTATGCGGAAAGTTATTCGGATCTCAAAGGAGGAGACATTATTGATTTATGTGCCATTTTTTCAGCTTGCACCCTATTCCAGTGCATGATTAGAAGTTTAAACTTTGCTATATAAAAATAACATTGTTAATATTCATTGTTATAATAACCTACCTGTATTGTTCTGTGTCTTTTTGTTACTAACACTGATTATATACTTTATATTAATATCCCTTTTCAGCTCCTCCAACAGCTCCACCTGTTGTTTACGGTAAACTAATAAAAAGTCTTGTTTGTATTATGCTTGTACCAGATATTCCTAAACATTCTGCATATATCAAGTTGAACTTTGTTTCCTTCCTGTTTCATTACATTTTACGGTTTTTTAAAATTCCAGTGGGAATTTAACATTTTGTTACTGTCAAGCTTATTGGCTGAATGTTCAAACTGTTTCATTATTATAGTTAAATCATTTATAAAAATACGGAATCTATTCTGAATATTTCCAATAACTAAGCAAACCCTCTTATTCCTATATAAAATGCATCTGCTTTAATCGTTTATTCTTTTTATGATTATTATAGTATTTCTCAGCTGAAGGACATTCAGCATTTCTGTGGACCATTTCTATGGTCAAAATCCCATTGCTTGTATGTTATGTTATATGCCTTCAAGTTGGAAACAACTTACTGTATAGCTATCCTAATAGGGTTTGCAAGATAAGTGATATACTTAAGGCATGGCTTTACCAGTTCCAAACCCTCAGTGAGTTTCCATGATTGAGCAGGAATTCAAACCCAAGCCTCCTGAGTCTTAGTCTGTCACTCTGTCAAATACACTGAGTATCTGTGTATTGCTTATATGTGTGAGCCCAACTGCCATGATATAAATCACAGCTATGAATTACCACCAATTGAGAAAGCACAGCTTCTCCCCCTCATCATGTGCAAAGTTGTGTGTTGGACACACAGTGAGGAAAACAACTGTTGATTCCTAAGCTATCAGCAGTTTGCCCGTGTGACATACACTTAGAGCAATGTACATAAATAACAAGTTATCTGCAGCCAAAGATGGAGAAGCACTACACAGTCAGCAAAAACAAGACCTGGAGCTGATTGTGGCTCTGATCATCAGCTTCTTATAGCAAAAATTAAGCTTAAACTAAAGAAAGTAGGAAAAACCACTGGGCTAGTCAGGTATAATCTAAACCAAATCCCTTATGAATACACAGTGGAAGTGAAGAACAGATTTAAGGAACTAGATTTGGTGGACAGAATGCCTGAAGAACTATGGATGGAGGTCAGTAACATTGTACAGGAGGCAGCAACAAAAACCATCCCAAAGAAAAGGAAATGCAAGAAAGCAAAGTGGCTGTCCAACAAGGCCTTACAAATAGCAGAGAAGAGAAGAGAAACAAAATGCAAGGGAGATAGGGAAAGTTATAGAAAACTGAATGCAGAATTCTAACGAATAGCAAGGAGAGACAAGAGGGCCTTCTTAAATGAACAATGCAAAGAAATAGAAGAAAATAATAGAAACGGAAAAACCAGAGATCTGTTCAAGAAAACAGGAGATATTAATGGAATATTTTGTGCAAAGATGGACATGATAAGGGACAAAAATGGTAGGGACCTCACAGAAGCAGAAGGCATTAAGAAAAGGTGGCAGGAATGCACAGAGGAATTATACAAGAAAGATCCGGATGTCCCAGACAACCCAGATAGTGTGGTTGCTGACCTTGAGCCAGACATCCTGGAGAGTGAAGTCAATGTGGGCCTTAGAAAGCTTGTCTAACAACAAGGCCAGTGGAAGTGATGGCATTCCAGTTGAACTATTTAAAATCTTAGAAGATGACTCTGTTAAGGTGCCAGCAAGTTTGGAAAACTCAGCAGTGGCCAGAGGATTGGAAAAGATCAGTCTACATCCCAATCCCAAAGAAGGGCAGTGCCAAAGAATTCTCCAACTACAGTACAATTGCAGTCATTTCACATGCTAGCAAGGTTATGGTCAAAATCCTACAAGGCAGGCTTGAGCAGTAGGTGGACCGAGAACTGCCAGAAGTACAAGCTGGATTTCGAAGGGACAGAGGAACT